CTCAGAGTAGTGAATTGAATTTTTCTTCTTTTTACTTCTGAATTTTCCTACCTTTTTTTTAAAAAAGAAATGACTTATTTAATAATCAGCAAAAGAGAAATGTCATTTTAAATAAAAAACAGTGGAAGAAAGATACGTTTTTATAAGGAGTCAAATGCTGAGTGCTTTACAGCAATCATGAATAATCAAAAAGCCAGGCTGGTGCATCAGAAAGAGCCTCAGCTGTGTTTCAGGAGACCCAGACTAGCATTAGAGTAGCCGGGCCACCTGAGCACCCAGGCTCGGCCACCCTCTTAAGCCTGCAGGGCTGCTGTGAACACCAGCTGAAATCCTATGTGAACTGTTAATCACTAGGCAAACATTAAAAAACACTGAAAGACAAATACCATGTAGGAAAAGTTTCTACAAAACATGAATGCAGACTTCCCTGGTGGTGCAGTGGTTAAGAATCCGCCTGCCAATGCAGGGGACACGGGTTCGAGCCCTGGTCCGGGAAGATCCCACATGCCGTGGAGCAACTAAGCCCATGCGCCACAACTACTGAAGCCTGCATGCTTAGAGCCCGTGCTCCGCAACAAGAGAAGCCACCGCAATGAGAAGCCCGTGCACTGCAACAAAGAGTAGCCCGAGCTCACCACAACTAGAGAAAGCCCGCACACAGCAATGAAGAACCAATGCAGCCTAAAATAAATAATTAATTAAAAAAAAAAAAGAACGTTCTTTAACAACCATCAACTGAACAGGACAGGCTGGAGACTTTAACGTGGCTCTTAACCTGTGGGCTGCCCAAACGACCCAGATTTATTTCTGGGTCCCCTGGCCTGTAAGTACACAGAGAACTGCCGGTAGCCTGACTGAATAGCACATGTAAGAAGGCATTATTTTTCATAAAGTCTGTGCTATTACAATCAGGTTTTTTAAAGGTTAATTCATAGTAGCTTTGTTGTGTACTCTCAAAACAACTCAAATGGTAATAAATTTTGAAAATTAAAACTGCATACCAAGATTGGAAACCAATGATGTAACTTTTTACTTCACAATGGGAATTTTAAAGTATTCCCTAACTGAGCTGAGCTTAAGTCCAGGAAAGGCAGTAGTAAGAGCAAGCCCTCTGGCTGTGAGAGGGTGGGGAGACCAGAGAAGGCGCTTCCCTGCACCTGGGGACGGGCACGCACGCAAGGCCACTTGAGAGCCAAGCAAGGTCCCTGCCTCCCTTGATGGGCTTCCTCAAACGTGCTCTGTGCGGACAGCAAGCAGTCCTAGACAACCAGGATATGGACGACAGAATCAGTGAGACTGATCTCCGTGGCAGTGAGGACGTCACCAAAACAGAGAGCCCCGGGCAAGGCCTGAGATCCCCTGCATTAAGCCCTGCATCTTCAGGGAGATGAACAAGGCCAATACTGCATGTCACCACTGGAACCAACTCCCAAGCTCTCTCCCTCCCCCATGGAGACATTCTGCAAGTAGCTATTCTTAAATTGTTTCTGAAATCACAGCCTGGAGTACTAAAATTGAAACTAGTCGGAGACAGTGCTAAAAAGCCTGTTCTGATTTCCCGCACCGCATCACTTTTACTTTTGATTCACAAATCACACTAACCACAGCCGCCATTAACAAGTTTTAAAATATAAGTGCAAACTATTTTTCTGTGTTTAATGCCATATGCGGGAAGGAAAAAGCAGAAAATACAAGGAAGGTGCGAGAGCAAATAACTGAAGAGATCAACACATCGCAGCAAACTGCAGACAGAAGCACACAGCTCTAGCAGACGGCAGTCACAGACGCAGGTGTGATCACGCAGAGGAACAAATGCGGGGAATACAACCGCCACCTTACAGGGGAGACAGGAAGCAGCAGAAAGCCAGGAGCAGCGAAGTGGGGGGAGTTAACTTCCCCAGCTCCAGCCTCCTTCAGGCATGACATCAGTGCCAGATGAACCACCGTCTGGGCCTCATGCAGGAGGACTCCTCCAGACTTCCCCGGAACACCCGGACTCTAACTCCCAGACCAACAGCCTGGTGAGTTCTCCTTAGCCATGTGTGAATTACGTAGATGGAGAGCCAGACAACTCATGACAGTAATAATGGTAAATATCTACGTCGAATCTCAGAGAGAAATAGTGCATAAAAGGGCTCTCCCACGTGTGTGGTCTGGGTTTGCTACACCTTTGCATAGAAAGACTAACGCCAAACCGAAGGGCAAGGATGTTCTCAGGGCAGGTCCCTTTGGAAATTTATTATAAGCTAATCAAACAACCAAAACGTTCTGCTTCGCTTGGTGGTGGGGTCAGGAACTGGATTCAAAGCCACACTGTACTATAAAGCAATGCTCTTTGTTTATGGGGTTTGGGGCAGGGGTTAGGCCTGGTTGGCACCAAGAAATATTTTTGCTCCATGAGGTTGCTAACAATTACCTGAAAAAATGTCCAAATAAAGCCGTTTTAGAGTATCTTCTATATTCCACTCCCCCTTCTGTTTGTCTACTCCTGAAATTCTACCACAAATGCAAAACTCACGTCCCCTCTTAAAGAAGGGGAACCAGAGGACTTGTGGGACGTGGGGTGGCGGAGGGTTTTATCTAGGATGATACTGGTACTGAGACTGGGAGGTGGCACATGAAACTTTCACTGTCGGCTAAAGCAGCAGCCCCAGCCTGCCAAGTGCACCTCTGCTCAGACAGCCCCCGAAGCTGACATTCGCACTGTAAGATGACAGTGACACCAACCCCCTCTTCAGTGAACAACAAAAAATGCTGGAGAGCGAAAGGTAAAACAAGTTTAGAGATGAAAATTACCCTTCAAAAAACACGACCAATGTAGAAACTGTGATATTATCTTCTACGAACTCTCTTCAAAAGCAAACCAAATCAAATGCTGTTGTTAAAATGAACAAGGCTTTCAAGTTACCCAGAACACCGTGCTGCCTGGATTACTCTGAATGCACTTGCTGAGATGAAAAATAACTCCTTTTACAAAAAAATCTCAAATTCTACCGCCAAGCCATTCCACAAGAGAATTCCTGGCCGTGATCACTCACCATCTTTAAATTCCTTGAGGACAGGAACCAGGTCTATCTCCCTGAGTCAACAGGCAATGCCTGATACATGGTAGATACTCAAAACAGCTGATGAATGGATGAAACGCTACTCATCGTTACACTCCTCTAAATGCAAACAATACTTAAGGCTACCACACTTAATACCCACTTAAGTATATCAGGCTGGGTAACAAAGTTTAAAAACAAAACAAAAGAAATCAGACTACAACAGGGCTTGGACAGGATCTTCAGGAGAAGTACTCACAACTCACTTTCCAGTTCTTAGACTCAAATCTGAACAAACTCTCCTAAGTCTGGAGAGAGAAGCACACCAAAAGAAGACTTTATCAATCCATGGATGAGAAGTCATGCGGGTAATCAGCTGCTTCAGTCACAAGGAAGAGACAAGAGCCTGTTCTTTTGGAATCCAAAGAGAAGATACAGTATTTTCAACAGGAAAGAACCACATGGCAGGACTGCCAGCCCAACTCATTTGACAGAAGACGTAGGTAACAAAAACTTTCAAACCTCAATTGAGTACTCTGCTATGATGCTAGAGCTCCCAGTTTACTGGCACTACACTACTTGAAAACAAAAAAACTGTGTTAAAACTCACAACTGCAAATGGAATATGTTATGGTTTTAAGGCAGAACTAATGGCACCAGAAAAGGCTTCCAAAATGACATCACTAGAAAGAAAGGAGGCGGAGAGAGACAGATACCAGGTGGCAAAAGATACTTCACAAGCTTCAGGGGCATCAGAAAGCAGTACAATCCGGAGGCCGAGCACAGTGCTCTGGAGTCTGGGCGCCTGGACTCAAATCTCCGCTCCATAACGTATTACTTCTGCGACCTTGGGCAAATGACTTAACCTCTCCGATCTTCCATTTCCCTATCTATAAGTGGGCACGGTAATGGTACTTGAGAAGTCTATTCTGAGAATTAAACACAATAATCGGTGCAGAAATATCGCCACGCTGCCTAACATGCAGTAACCGCTCCAATGTTTGCTACTGTTATTTTCAATTTTCCCAGTTTTGCGAACCATTCCTTTCGGGGAAGCCCGAACTGAACGCCCTAAGCGGGCCCCGCCGCGGTCCGAACCAAACACAGCTCTGCACCCAGCCACCGTCTCTCCCCCAGCAAGTTTGGAAACTTCTTCCACGCCTCACCGTAACGTCTTTGTGATAAAAAGCTCCCAGTCGCGGGAGCCCGAGGCGCCCGAGGGAGCCCGGGACACGTGACCCGGGTCTCCGTGGACTCGCGGCGTCGGGGACCCTCATCCGCATCGGTAGGACCGGACGGCGGGCACGCGGCTCTGCCTGGCACCGGAGCAGGGTGGGCGGCGCCCCCGCCGCTGGTCGGCCGGCCCCCGCCCTCGGCCGCCGCCCCAGTGCCGGGCCGCCCAGGCTAGGTCGCCCTGGCCGTCTCGGGCCGGACGCCCCGGGAAACAGGCGTGCGCGCCGCCAGCCGGGATCACACCCGGCGACCTCTGACACCCCCGCGGACGCTCGGCCGGCCTGACGCCGGGCCCGAAGACACGGAGCTCCCCAAGAGGCCGGGCCGGGCCTGCCCAAGACGCGAACGGCGCGCACCGGCGACCTAGGGCCGGGAGGGGGATGGGGCCGGGCCGCCACTTACCGCGGCCGCTCCGCTGGGCTCCGGGCCGGGCGCGTCGCGAGGGCTCCGCCGAGGAGGAGACGAGGGGTCGACAGGAGCGAAGGAAAGTCCAAGCTCCGATTCCGGCGGGCTCCTCGGCCTGTCCAAGCTTCCAACGCCGCCGCCACCGCCGCCTCGGGCTTTATGGCCAAGACTCCGGCTCCGCTCCCACTTCCGCCACCGCCGCCGCCCCGAGCGGAAGTACCTGTCACGAGACGCTCGACGCCAGGGCTGCGGGGGAGGAGCCCCGCCTCTACCGTGCGTCAAGTTCAGCCGCCTCGGGCCTGGGCCTGGGTCACGTGGCCCAAACATGTCTGCCCCCAGTGGCTGCGGCCATCTTTGAGGCCCGGCCGGGAGCAGGGTGGCGCCATGCTGGACCCACCCACCGATGCCTCAGCCCCTGAACTTAGCACCAAAAGAGAAGCAAAGAAATTGAACCCACTAGAGCTCTGCGAAGGACGGGGCACCCTACCCAGCTCCAGCTCCACCTGCACACATTAGAATCTACTCAGAACTTTGGCTCCATCTTCAAAAACATGCTCCTCTCATAGCCTTTTCTTACTGGTTCATGCAAACTTCATTCTTTTGGTTGCTGGGTACAAAAACTTTGGAATCATTCTTGATCCCCGTAGTGGGTTGAATAGTGACCCCCCCTACACATCCTGGAACCCGTGGGTGTGACCTGATTTGGAAAAAGGGTATTTGAAGGTGTAATTAAGGATCTGGAGAGAGACCATCCTGGATTACCATGGGGGGGCCCTAAATCCAATGACAAGTGTCCTTATAAGAGACACAGAGAAGAGAAGGCCACGTGGAGATGGAGTCAGCGGCTGGAGTGAGTAGCCACAACCCAAAGAATGCCAGCAGCAAGAGCGGGGAGAAACGGTGTTGAGTTTAGACTTTTGTATTTGAGAGAACGTATTTCTGTTTTTTTTGGTTTTTGCGTTTTTTTGCGGTACGCGGGCCTCTCACTGTTGTGGCCTCTTCCGTTGCGGAGCACAGGCTCCGGACGCGCAGGCTCCGGACGCGCAGGCTCGGCGGCCATGGCTCACGGGCCCAGCCGCTCCGCGGCATGTGGGATCTTCCCGGACCGGGGCACGAATCCGCGTCCCCTGCATCGGCAGGAGGACTCTCAACCACTGCACCACCAGGGAAGCCCATTTCTGTTGTTTTAACTACCAAACTTGTGATGATTTGTGACAGCAGTTCTAGGAAACTAACTCAACTCCCCTTCTCTCGGACCCCTCATCCACAAGCTTCAAAAGATATCCGGAATGTGACTCCCCCTTTTCTGAACCGCCATCATTTCTCACCTGGATTATGGCAACAACCTTGGTTTCCTGCTCCCACCTCATTCCCTATCCAGTCTTAACACAGTAGCCAGAGTAATTCTATAAAAATGTCAAACCATGTCATTCTCCTGCTCAAACTATTCCCATAGGTCAGAATAAAAACTAAAGGCTTTACAAACAAAAGGTCCTATCCTGGGAATTCTCTGGCAGTCCAGTGGTTAGGACTCTGCGCTTTCATTGCCAAGGGCCCATGTTGGATCCCTGGTTGGGGAATTAACATCCTGCAAGCCGCCAAAAAAAAAAAAAAAAAAGTCCTGACCCCTTAGATACTTCTCGGACCTCATCTCCTTCTAACATCCCCTCTGATCAGTCTGCTCAGACTACACTAGTTTAAGAAAAGAGAAGGCACACGTGTAACTAAAGCCTTTGCAGTTGTATTTCTTTCGATCCGGACAGTTCTTCCCTCAGATATCTGTATGGCCACTCCCTCACTTTCTTCATGTTTTGACTTAAATGTCATCTTCTCAGTGAGAATGGCCTTCCCTAAATAAAACTGAAGTTCCTCTTCCTATCACACTAGACATAAAACATCCACTTGCTATCTCCCTTCCTGCTTTCTTGTTTCTTCATATTGCTTTCTTGTTTGCTTACTGTCCCTCTCCCCCACTAGAATGGCAGTTCCGTAAGGGTAGGGATTTTGTCTGTTTCATTCATTGCCATATCCTTGATTAGAACAGTGCTGGGGCACAGTAGATGCTCAGTGAGTACCATTTATAGAGTATTCAGGGCAATGCAAGTTGGAAATGGACTCCGAAGCCAAGAATTATGGTAATTCCACCCCACTCTGCAGCCATTCAAAATGCTAGGCTTAAAGAAACAACTAGAGAACACAGAAAAAGGCAGAGCACAAAAATAAAGAGACCTGTGAACCCCCAGCTTTCTAAGAAGCAGACCAAGATGGCTATTCAAATGCAAACATGGCTATTTCTCATGAAAAAGAAAGGACTACTCCGAAGAAACCCATCAGCCAAGAAGGTGGAGTCGGGAGCTGCAGAGAATTATTCCCAAGGAGCAGGATTGGACCCTTATCAGAAAACTGACAACATGTGCCTAACTGGATTTCAAAATTGCTGTGACCCAGTCGTAGCTATGTCACTCCTGTTTTTCCCCTTTTGAAAAGAAGGGTCTGCTCCGGTTGTCATATGCTTGTCAACTCTGTTTGTTGGCTCTGTGCTGTGGAGAGTAGAAAACATGCCCGTAGCTCACAGGTCTTCAGATCAAGAGAAACATATTCAAGAAACTGTTCTTGAGGAATCACAGGAACTTCATCTTCTGAGGAGCCTCATTTGCACCAGGACCTGATTTACACAAGATCCACTATGAGCCAATGATGTACTGGGATGAGATTTTTAGGGCCTCTGGGAGGAGGTGAGCATATCTGGCACACAGGAGAACTAGACAAAATCTGTATCCTGAAGGTAGACCACGATAGATTTAAAAAAGTGGTAAATTCTTTGTTCCTCCTTCCTTTGAGTTGTGGAATCTACTTCCCTTCCTTTTGCATTTGGGTTGGCCTTACTTTTTTTTTTTTTCTAATAAATTTATTTTTGGCTGCGTTGGGTCTTCGTTGCTTTGCGCAGGCTTTCTCTAGTTGTGGTGAGCGGGAGCTACTCTTCGTTGCGGTGTGCAGGCTTATTGCGGTGGCTTCTCCTGTTGCGGAGCACGGGCTCTAGAGCGCAGGCTCAGTAGTTGTGGCTCACGGGCTTACTTGCTCCACAGCATGTGGGATCTTCCCGGACCAGGGCTCGAACCCATATCCCCTGCATTGGCAGGCGGATTCTTAACCACTGCGCCACCAGGGAAGTCCCTATATTATCTTTAAGTTTTAACTATGGGACTGTATTAACTACTAAATATTTAAATTAGGGACTTCCCTGGTGGTCCAGTGGTTAAGACTCTGCGCTCCCAATGCAGGGAGCCCACATTCAATCGATCCCTGGTCAGGGGACTAGATCCCCGCACGCCGCAACTGAAGATCCTGCACACGGCAACGAAGATGCCGCGTGCCGCAACTAAGACGCGGTGCAGCCAGATAAATAAATAAATTTTTTCTAATTAAAAAATATTTAGATTAAAAAAAGAAATCCACAGAGTGATAATGGGATGCAGGCGATAAGATGGGCTTCTCGGACAGTGAGGGAAGTTGGAGGAGAGGTGATATTCGACACAGGTGGTGAGAAAGGCTCCCTAAGGAGGTGACATTTGAGCAGAGAGACCTGTTGACAAGATGGAGCGACCCTGCTGAGATTACCTGAGCAGAAGGTGTTACGGGACAAGGGAACAGCAGAGGCAATAGCTTTGTGCAGAGACAAGGTGTCCTGTTCAAGTGTGGTTGGGCAGAATGAGGAAGGGAGAGAGGGAAGAGAGGGGGTGGGGAGACGGGCAGAGCTGGCTCACGCAGAATCTCATGGGTGGTGGGAAGGCCTTTGACATGTGTGTTGCGTGTGAGGAGAAGTCCAGGGAGGGTCTGAAGCAGAGAGTGTGCGTGTCTATGTGTGAGGTGTGTCTCCCTTCACAGGCTGCTTCACTGCGGCCCTTCCCCTGTTCCCACGGCAACCCATGGCCCGTCCAGGCCCGCCGCAGCCCCAGGATACTGCTTGCTTGATGTCTGCTGATTCATTCCCTCCTCGTCCAGCCTGGGGACCAGCACCTGCCCTGGCCTGCCTCAATGGCCCAGCACCCGCTGGGTACATGTCTGACCAATTCAACGCAGGGTCAAATGTTGAATTTTTCTATGTGGTGCAGCTTTGCATGATTGATAAAGTTCTCTGAGATTTTCTATTCAAACACAGATGGTTTGGCTCAGGGGTTCCACCCCTGGCAGTTTTCACTAGCCCAGGAGTTAGGCTGGGTGGTCCTCCACCCTGAGCCCAGCACTCAGCCGGAGCCCTGTGCCTTTGAGGTACTCTCCTGAGCTCCCTGGGCCCCAGTGTCCTCGTTCTGAAATGGTGTTGATGAGCCCGCCTCTCTGGGTCACTGGGGACTCACACGTGAATGTGACTTCCAAGGTGCTCCATCACATGTGGGAGAGACCAGAGTTACATGTCGGTTTCTGGGTGGTGGCTTCAGGCACTTTTCTTTAAGATGTGATCACTCATCCATTCATTCAGAAGTAATTAGGGACTGCCACAACTACTGAGCCTGTGCTGTAGAGCCCGAGAGCCACAACTACTGAAGCCCGCGTGCCTACAGCCCGTGCTCCGCAACAAGAGAAGCCACCGCAATGAGAAGCCCGTGCACCATAATGAAGAGTAGCCCCCGCTCCCTGCAACTAGAGAAAGCCCATGCGCAGCAACGAAGACCCAACACAGCCAAAAATAAATATATTTTTTTAAAAAAATGTAATTAGGGACTTCCTTGGAGGTCCAGTGATTAGGACTCTGCACTTCCACTGCAGAGGGTGTGGGTTCGATCCCTGGTCACGGTACTAAGATCCCACATGCCGCACAGCACAGCTTCCAGGTTGACCACAGGGACACAGAGATGAACCAGCCCAAGTCCCTGAGCTCCAGGAGGTGCCAGTGGGCTGTGTGTGTGTGTGTGTGGAACGCCCACAAAAAGACAACCACACATCACCCTAGACCCTGCTCCTCCGACAACTAGCCACAGGCTGCTTTCCAGAGCCTTCCTGCCCACAAGGCTGCACTGCAGCCCTCTGCCCACAGTGACCCTTTCACGGACGGGCACTCGAGCAGCTCCAGAGCATCACAGTCTTTTTTGGGGGGTGGAGGGAGCAGACTTGTTGGGAGAAAGAAGACTTTTTTCCCAGGAGAAAGAGTCAGCCATGCCTAGACTTGCTGGGGGCTTCCTGTCACCTGGAGAGCAGAGCCCGCGTGCGGCAGAGCTAAAGTGGGGCAGCAGGGACGCGTCAGAGGGACACAACCAGGGACACTTCATCCAGAGATGCCCGAGTCCTCCCTGCCCCCCAGCCTCTGCCACGTGCTTACTGGGGAGCCCCAGCCGCTCTGGGGCTGGTCTCCATGGAGCCGAGCAGCTGCAGGGCCCAGGTCCTACCTGCCTGGAAGCTCAGAGGCCTCGGCTCCCCTAGTAACCGCAGCCCAGAAACGTAGGTCGTGGACATCCCCACCGGGAAACTGGCCAACAGGACGGACGCCGGAAGTGAGGAGCTGAGAGGAGAGTCTGCTTTCACCTTCCCACCTTCCCCAGTGGCTGTTCCTAACGGCCTTCCTGGGGACGGCGTGTGCGAATAAGTTTCTCAGAATTAGCAAATAAAAATACTGGTACTAAAACATCGTTCGTGTTCATCGGAATTCCCACGTGGCGGCGTCCTGTGTCAACCTGGCGGCGGTCCTTGCTGAGCATCACGCCAGCATAACACTCACCTCGCACTTCCCTCCCGCTCCCCGCCTGGTTTGCCAGGTCCTGAACCCGGCATAAAGCAGCAGCACGTGAAGCCGGGCCTCAGGCTCTGTTTTCCGGGGAGCTGAGGTAAGACGAGGCAGTTCAAGTAGATGTTTGTCACTTGCATCCAAAAGAGCCCTGGTGACAACTCAGCCTCAGTTTCCTCTTCTGTGGCACGAGGATGACAACTTCCGCCCCACTCACAGCCCAGGATGGACGAGCACGTCAACGACCTTAGGAGGGGCGAGGGGGCCAGGCCAGAGGCAAGGGGTCAGTGCAGCCACTGCTGGAGAGCTGCCCCACTACCCCAAGTCAACGGGCTGGGAGGCAGGCGCTGCGCCCTCAGCAGCTGTGGCCCTCCCACGTTCTCTCCCATGGGCCGCGTCTCTGCGGGTGCCCCTTCTCGGGGTCACTGCGCCTGACTCTTTCAGACTCTGTGCTTCAGATTAACAAGCACTGTGGGGACGGGGGGCACCCGCCTCCACCCGTCGTTCTTCCTATGCTGTGCACTGAAGCCCTCCTGCGGCTCCATCCTGACAAGCTGTGGGTGTCTCGTCCTGCCTTCACCTGACCAACACGGGCCCCCCGTGTGCACCTTCCATCCCCCCGGAACGGCCTTCAAGGCCCTACATCTTCTGGCCTTTGTATCTTTCATCTATTTATTCATTCAACAAACGTAGCTTGAGCACTTACTGCGTGGCGGGCACTGGAGAGACAGCAGAGAACAAAACAGACAAAAATCCCTGCCTTCATGTAACCTATATTCTAGTGGCAGACACAGAATTTCACCATGTAAATAAGCGAAATATATAGTATATTAGGCACTTCCTAATGGTCCAGTGGCTAAGACTCTGTGCTCCCAATGCAGGGGGCCCAAGTTCGATCCCTGGTCAGGGAACTAGATCCCACATGCATGGCACAACTAAGAGTTCGCATGCCACAACTAAGGAGCCCGCTGGCCGCAACTAAGAACCGGCTCAACCAAATAAAGAAATAAAATATTATGGTATATTACATGGTGATAAGTGTGGGGAACAGAGACAAAGCAGGGCAGTGGGTGGCGAGTGACCCCGGCCCCCGGCCTCCCTGTCTCCTGGCATCAGGCCGCTCCTGCCGCACCAGCTTCTTCCGGCTCCCAGATATACTGAGCTTGCCCCTGCCACTGCCCATCCAGCTCCCCTGGCCCAGACAGTCCCCCTGCCCCCGTTTCCAAGATCTTCTCCGGGTTGGATCCTTCTTACCACTGAACTCAAATGACACTACAGGGAGGCCCTCACAGGCCAATATAACCTTGTTACGTTGTTACATTGTCTCCAAAGCACCTCAATGAGCAAGGATCCCCTGTAATTATTCGTTTCCTTGTTTTATGGGGAAATTCTCCCTCCTCCTAGAATTCCCCCTTCCTGAGAGCAGGGACCTTGTCTACCTGGTTTGATGCTGTGATTTCAACGCCTGGAACAGTGCCTGGGTCATGACAGATACTCAGCGAATATTCACTGAACGACTGACAAATTCATTGCTCTCCCATCCCCCTACTCCTCTCCTTTCACATAAAGAATTCCCCCCTTTCCTTTAAGGCTAGTTCATCAAGAATATATTAGTAGGGACTTCCCTGGTGGTGCAGTGGTTAAGAATCCGCCTGCCAACGCAGGGGACACGGGTTTGAGCCCCGGTCCGGGAAGATCCCACACGCCGTGGAGCAACTAAGCCCATGCACCACAACTACTGAGCCTGCGCTCTAGAGCCCACGAGCCACAACTGCTGAGCCTGCGTGTCACAACTACTGAAGTCCGCGCGCCTAGAGCCCATGCTCCGCAACAAGAGAAGCCACTGCAATGAGAAGCCCTCGTACTGCAACAAAGAGTAGCCCTGGCTCTCTGCAACTAGAGAAAGCCCGCACGCAGCAATGAAGACCCAACGCAGCCAAAGATAAATAAATAAATAAGATTTTTTAAAAAAAGAATATATTGGTAAACACACCGTCACGGTACTGTGTTACAGAAGGCAACCCTACCTGCTATAACAAATAGGCCTCCAAATGAGTCAGATCTCAAACAAAACAGAAGCAGGTGGCTTTCCTCCACACACTGACGTGGGGACTGGGCTCATTCTCCCCTGTGGCCACACCATTCCCAAGGGGCTTGCCATCGTCTAGATAGAGCTGGTAGCAGGGGTAGAACTTCGTGGAGATGGTACATCTTCTTCTTGATGCCTGGGTGTGCAAGGGACACATGCCACCTCTGCTCGTGTTACTTTGGTAAGAGCTAGTCATGCTGCACACCTGGATGCATGAGGACCTACGAAACAGGGGCGCAGGTGAGGCAACAGCTGTGCACTCCAGAAGAGGGAGAGCAAACCTCGCTGGGGAGCTGTCTGCCTCTGCCACTGATACAGCGTGGTGATCGCTGGGTACAGGAAGTGAAGGAGCGAGGGCGGCCCAGGAGAAACACCTGAGGTAGCCTGGGAGACAGAGTAGTCAAGGAGGGCTTTCCAGAGCCGGAGGTGCTGCGGTGACTCATGAAGGATGATTAAGAACCTGCTGGGCCAAGAGGAAGGCGACTGCTTGGGAGGGACAGCAGGGTGCGAACGTTTAGAGAAAAGAGAGCACATGACATAACTCATTCCAGAAATTGCTGACGGCTTAGTGTTCCTGGAGAACAGAGTTCAAGGGAAGGAAGCAGGAGCAGTAAGGAAACTCACGCACAAAGACTGGGTCGTGGTGGGTCGTGAATGCCTTTGATCCAGATGTCAACAGGGCCTTTTCCTGTTTTCCTCGTATTGACAGCCAAGATCCAAAATTGAGGGCAAAGAGCATGGAGGATCTGACACTTCGGATGACTAGGACATCGGCTGAGACGGGGGCGCACAGGCACAGAGAAGCGGCAGGACTGGCCCCGCCACGACGGCTCCCCTCCTCCCCTACCCACACAAGCAGCAGCAGCAGAATCGTGGGCAGAGGGGACAGAGGGAATTCTTGCAGTCACAGGGCTGCTGAGCCCAGAGTACTGGGCTTCCCTCCCCCGCCGTTGCCAAGGTGAGGTGTAAAGCTGGGGTGGGGGAAGCAGGACGGACTGGCATCTCATTCCCCAAGGGAACCTCTGCGTCGTGGGCAGCAGGTGTGTGGATCCTGTCCTCTGCCTTCCCGGCAGGGACAGGAGAGGGGCTCAAAGAGGAGGCTGCAGGGCGGCTGCCTGCAAACCTGCGTGGGTAAAGCCACTAGGCAGGCCTTTCCGAGTCAAGGGGTTGGTCCGAAGGGCAGCAGGCTTGAGCCTCTGTACCAGCAATCTACTACGACAAAACTAAACACTCCCGAACCTGAGGGCCATAAACTTGGGGTCATTTCTTATCTCATGATCCCTGTGGGCCAGGAGGTCAGACTGAAGGTCACGTGCATGACTTATCTCTACTCCGTGCTGTCTGGGGCCTCAGCTGAGAGCCGTGAAGGATGATCTGAAGGCCTGCCTGGGGCTCGCTCACACGCTGGCCGACCGGTGCTGACCAATAAGCTTATTTCCATAGGGCTGTTTGTGTCCACACAACACGGCAGCTGGCTTCCCCCTGAGAAAACGATCTGAAGAACTGAGGTAGACGCTGGAACATCAGATAGGACCGAGCCTCTGAAGTCCTGTGTCATCACCTCCACAGAACTCAGCTGGTCACACAGGTCAGCTCCCATTCGGTGGGAGAGGGGACCACGGAAGGACGTGAACCCCGGCGGGAAGAATCACGGGGGCCAACGTGGAGGCCGGAGACCACAGCTCCCTCACTGGCTCCGCAGCCAGGAGGGCTGGCCAGGGACGGGGCACCTGAAGAGGATGAGCCAGAGGGCCAGGAAGAGTTCAAACCTGAGTCAGCTCTCCCTCATCACGGACCTGAGCTGTGGGACGGCCCCAAAGGGCTCTGCGGAAAACTCACACACGGCCTGTGCGGGATGCAGGCCCAACAGAGATGGCAGTGCTCACGGAGCAGCTGGGACCTGAAAGATCTGTTCACAAGATGGCCCATTCCCCACTGCTCTCCAGTGTCACCTTTGCCATAAATCGGATGACTGGGTATTTACGGGTCTATTTCTAGACTGTCCTGTTCCATGATCTGTTTACCCATCTTTATGCCAGTACCACACTAATCACTATACTTACATTATAGATCCTGATATCTGGCCGTGAGAGCCCTCCAACTTCCTTCCTCCTCTCCTGGATGGCCTTGGCTATTGTTGGCCTTTTGCATTTCCATGTAAACTTTAGAATCAACTTGTCAATTTCCACCCCAAAAAATTCTGCTAGAATATAGACTGGAATTGCATGGCATTTATACTCCACTTGGGGAGAATTTTACTGAGTTATACACTTACTTATTATTTGAATGCTTTTTCCTATGTATGTTACACTTCAAAATTTTTAATGTCATTAAGAAATCTGCTACCCAGAGCATATTTCATATTTATATTATAAGACATTGAGATTCTTCAACCAATTAACACTAATTTTTTTTTTTAATTTTACATTTTTTTCCCAGGGGGTCTGTGTTCCCTCAAATTCCATTGTTTGCAAACCATCTTCCCATGCCATCAACACTGCTATTTATGGAAAGGGAGTTGACTTAGAAATTTTTTTAACTTTTTTTAAGAAAAACTTTATATCACCATCATAAGGGGATAACGAGTCTCTCTTGATATATATAGAAGATAACTGGCAAAAGAAGCATAATGAAAATAAGCATTATTGAATTATAACTAGATATTGTCTGCTGAAGGAAGCCTGCTCTTTCTTTGTTCAAAATGTGTATTTGCAAGTGTCAGAGAAATGCAACATACGCACTGCTATCACACTTAGAATTTCTCCTTGAGGTATTCAGAAAGATTGGAAAATAACCGGAAAAGGAATAATTTTGTCACTTTTCTCTTTTGGAGCTAATTGTGGATCCACATGTAGGTGTAAGAAATAATGCAGAGAGATGGCTTGAGCACTTTACTGAATGTCCCCCAAGGGTGACATTTTTGCAAAGCTATAGCTCTTCAGCGGACGACACGGACATTGGTCGTACTCAGAGCTCCTCAGTCTTGTACTCCTTTCTGCACGTGTGTGTGTGTGCGCGCACGCCCATGCGCGTGCATGCTATGTGCTACGTAACTGAATCCCCTGCGTAGGTCTGTGCATCCACCACCAGACTGTTTTTTAATTTCGTCCTCACTCAGGAACCCGGGCCGATGGCGCCAGCCTCCACCACTGCAGACCAGCCGCTGCTGTGTTTGTTCCAGCGCGCAAACGTGGAAACTCCTGCTCTGCCTCTTCAAGGCCCCTGCCCACATGTAAAACATGATGCCTCCATTCATGTTTCCTTAGACAAAGCCTGTCACCTGGTCACAACAACTTCCATGAGGCAGGGAAGCATGATCTTACTATGACCCTGAAAGGAGGATAATCTGAGTATTAATGAACAGCATTGAATATCTGGACAGTATTTGAATATTAATGACCACTATCACACCGTTTAGACATTCCTCTCCCACTGACTGCACTAGTGAGCAACTTAAAAGGCCAGGACCGTATTCCATTCTTGGAAGAAACAAGGCAAACAGAACACAAACTGTTACGTCAAGCTTTCAAAATAACCTAACGCAGGTATTCCCCACTTTTTGGAAGTTCGCTTTATGCCACTTCGCTTTCACGAAAGACCTACGTTACTACCTGTTTTCACTAACCAAAAGCTCTCTAAAGAGCATTTTCACTTTTACGATCAAAGGCGAAAAGCAGAAGTAGTGTTCATCGTGTGTTCTGCCGCAAGCTGTCACAGAGGCAGCGCACGCGCTCAGCAGCAGGAGCGGCCCCGCCAAGCCCCTTCCCCCAGGAGCCACACTCAGCAGCTCAGCGTCAAGCCACCACAAGCTTTAAACTGTGTCTGCAAGCATCTTATCCAGATTTATTCTGTGCATCTGTGAGCAAGATGTGTCCTAAGGTAACTGCTCCTTCGCTTTACGCCATTTGGCTCATGAAAGGTTTCTTAGGAACGCTTTCCTTTCGGATAGTGGGGGAAGGCTGTTATTAATAATGCTGAGAGAGTAGCCTCATTTCCCTTCTCCGTGCTCTCTGGAGGTATCTCAAGTGTAGGACAGTTATCTGGATCATCTCTCTCTCTGCCCTTTCATTAAACCAGGCACCAGGATCCACCCATCTGGTGTCCTATTCCTCTCCTGGGTTCACCCTTTGTTCCATTCCAACGCCTGACCTTGCATCCCATACAGCACGCACCACGATTCCACCCTCCTACTGGGGCCTGGCCTCCACTCTGCCTCAGGGATCTTTCTTTACTTTCAATGTTTCCGCTGAATGGAACTCAATAATTAAACATCGTGATAACAATTAATTTGATACTCAAAACAGAGACTCCAAAGAACTAACTGTTTTGAGTTTTCCTTTCCAGGCTTTGTCCAGATGCAGATGGAATTTTTATGCAATAATATCAGTATACAGACTTTTTTTTTTTTTTTTTGGCTGTACCGCGTGGCTTCTGAGATTTTAGTTCCCCGACCAGGGATGGAACCCAGGCCGTTGGCAATGAGAGCACGGAGTTCTAACCACTGGACTGCCAGGAAATGCCCTATGGACCATTTTTATACTGCCTATTCTACCTAATGTTATACCAAAGGCACTTATGTCACCAAATGCTTCCTAAGCATCCTGAAATCAGCTATCACTTTCACTTTCTCTGATTATGTAAACAACATATGTTCATTAATGAACATTTTAGAAAAATCAGGCATCTGTGAATAGGAAAATGAGGCACCAACAATCATCCCACCTAGAGACAACTGGTAAAACAATATGTGGTATACATCATTTGTGTCTTTTGTCTATGTTTGATATAATACACTGCAGTAGTTACCTTCAGAAAATATCCAAATCACCTTAAAACTTAGCAGCTGAAAACGACAAGCCTTTATTATCTCATGGTTTCGAGGGTCGGGAATCCAGGGGTAACGTGGCTGCGGTTGACGTGCTGGCTGAAGTCACCTCGAGGCTTGACGGGGGAAGGACCCACCTGGATGCTGACTCTCGCGGCTGTTGGCAGGCGTAGGTCTGCAATGGCTTGTCTGAGACAGCAGTTCCTCCCCACCCGGGAGCTCCACAGAGCTGCTCGGGGCCTGGAGCCACTTCCCCAGAGCGAGGGATGCGTGTGAGAGGAAGGGTGATGGACAGGCTCCATCTTTTTAGAATTTAGTATCAAAAGCGACATTCCACCACTTCTGCTGTGTTGTTTGCTATGAGTCCCTAAATCTGGCCCGCACCAAAGACCAAGGGATACACAAGGGGATGAAAATCACTGGGGGTCATTTTAGAGGCTGCCTTCCTACCACTTAGATGAAACATTATTTTGTAACCTACTTGTTGTTTATTTGAGATATAGTTCATATTCCACAGAACTTAC